TATCAATAAAAATTATAATTTGTATTAAAAAATCAAAATTCCTGAGTTTGACCGATTTGAAAGAGTTTTTCCAAATTTCACCGATTTTCTTTGAGTTGGACCGATTTCATCGATTCCGAGGTTTTTGCATGATTCTTAAAAAATCGTATCGACATATACCCGATTTAGAGTACCCGTCTGAGTATTCATCCAAGTACTTAACAGTGTATGCCGAGTTTTACAACACTGGTAATGCCTCATAAGAGCCTTTCTTTCTGCTGAGTTTTACACCTCATGATGATGGAGGTTGTTTAGTAGTTTAAAAGCGAAAAGGTAGATCGATTGATTATGTCATTGATGCTACGGTACAACCGATGTAGCTAACTGTGGATGAAGATTGTCCGACAGTCGACATGGAAGCTCTGGTAGCTACTAAACATGGCTGTCTGGTGGTTGACTATGGTTATCTAGCACTGGATAGTACCTACGAGCACCAATCCTGTTTCTTTGTATTTAATTGATTCTCCAAAATAGAGAACTGGGTTTTCTATTATCAAACAATTGGAAGCTATTATTAAAGTAGAAAGTGCTTTATAGTTTGATATGGTAGGATGTGAAATGACTCTTGCTGATATATATTATTGTTGGAAATGGAGATATGGAAGTTAATCAATGAATGTTTAATCAATTAATGCGTAAGGATCTTGGGATATTGATAAAAAGTGACGTGTAAAAAGTTTACGTATCTTTCATCTAGTTAACCTTCTTGCAGTGCAGGAAACCAAGCTTTTGCGTATTGATTTGTGGTATGTTCGTTAGGTGTGGGGTAACCTGCATTTTGATTTTTCATGTAGTTCAGCTAGAGGGATGTCAAGGGGTATTTTTTTTGTATTTGGTTACCTATGAAAAGGGTCATGTGGTGCTCCTTATTGGTGTTGGTTCAGAGGTGGGAGGTGAAATGGTGTTGATGGGGGATTTCAATGAGGCTTGGGAGGCCGGAGAGCGGTTTGGTTTGGTTTTTTAATGATAGGCTTGCTAATTTATTCAATTTGTTTATTTATGATGTTGAACTTGTTGATGTTCCATTAGTTCTTTTTTGTTTAATTGGACGGATAAGAGTGTCTCAAAGATGAGTAATTTGGATAGATTTTTAGTTTCGGAAGGTATGTATGATGCTTTTCCTAGCACCACTGGTGTGGTCTTAGTGCATACTACTCGAGATCATAGTCCTATCCTTCGTAAGGAGTCGGTTGTGGACTATGCTCTGACTATGTTTTGTTTTTTCCATTCTTCTTAATAGATGGACGGTTTTCATCAACTTATGGTGGAAACGTGGGGGATGATGGCATTGTAAGAAAAAATGGTATGGTTTGATTCAAGAAAAAAGCTTCAAAACTTAAAAAGAGCGATCTATAATCAGAATTCCTTAAAGTAGGTAAGTGCGAATGAGTTAAAAGCTAAACATCAAAATTTATGTGGCTCTCATTGATGCTTAGATCGACAAGGATCTTGCTACATATGATGATATGGTGCTCCGCAGTGATTAGTTAATAGTATTTGATGAAATATATCGGCTTGAGGCTAAGGACTTAGCTTAAAAAGGTAAGGTCAAGTGGGTTAGTAAGGATGATGAGAACTTGCAGTTTTTCCATGGTACGTTAAAGAAAAAGCATGGTTAGCTTTTTATTAAAGATATTTTACGTAACGACTCTTATATCGAAGACCATATCCTTGATAGATCTGATGTTTTTTTATCATTTTCGGGCTCGTTTTTCCCCATTGTACGTTCTTGGCCTTGATTAGGGGTGAAGTTCCATAATTGTTTGTTCGTGGATCAAAAGGTGTTCATTGAAGATTACTTTTCCTGGGAGGAAATTAAGCAGACAGTGTGGGACTATGGTGCCGATCGAGCTCCAGGGCCTAATGGTTTTACTTTTTACTTCTTCAAAACTACCTGGTCGATTGTTGAGCCATATGATATGCTTTGTGCATGAGTTCTTTCATTTGGCTTATATGCCAAAAGGGCGCATCCACTTTTTCGTTGCCTTGATTCCAAAACAACTGATGCACGATTTGTCACAAATTGTAACATCCCAAAAATCACGATAAAATTTTTCATTCTTAATTTAAAAGGAAACCATTGTTTCCAAATCCAAACCATATCAAATCAAGTGTCAATACAAATATTCCCAAGATCCATGTAACATAAAATCTATAAAAATATGTCACCGAAGGATGTGTATGATCACGCCTTCGCCTTTCCATAGTCATCTAAGGTACCTGAAACAAGAAACTGAAGCTATAAGCCAAAGATTAGTGAGTTCCCCTAAAATACCATATAACACAGCCACACAAATATATAAAATGCATGATGGGTCCACAACCTCCCAGTTGGCTTACCCTGGCCTACAACCTCCCGGTTAGATTGCCTTGGAAATAACATACTAGGTCCACAACCTCCCGGTTGGATTGCCTCGGGTTTGTTGACTGACCGCACGAAGCAGTACAGTCTCAACCCAACCATACTATGTCGACATATAGCATATAACATATAACATATATTCAACAGACATATAATTATATAGCCAGTCAACATACTCACAGGCATATCTACCGATCACATCTGCATAATAACGTCCTATATACCAGAACTCAGTTCTAACAGATTAATACAACATGGCAACATTCCCAAAACCAGGGTACATAACTCAGCGGGCCGACATTGGTGCCTTCGATCCGCAAGTACAATGAGGAAAACTCACCTCTCAGTCTGAAAAAGATCTCTGTATAGGATACAACTCCAAATGAAAGCTCAATTGGTCACCTATTCATTAAGAAATGACCAATATCAAATACCACTCAAAATACCCAAAATACCCTTAGGTCAAACATGGTCAAACCCTGGTCAAATGTCAAAGTCAACAAGTCAACTTAGCCAGTCGACACATTGTGGTTAGCTCCAGCCACGCTGTGGTGACTAGAAGACGAAATAGTCGTGTGGCAGCCATCCACCACGTCGTGGTGACCATGCACTACGTCGTGATGACTGCTCAAACCAACTTATTTTAATAAGACCTTAATCCATCAAGCTAACCATTCCAACTTCCTATAAGGCATTCTCTCATCCAATGAACCATAGAAATCTTTTCTTTATAGACATACATGCCCAATACATGTCTTGAACTCAAACTAGGTCAAAATAGAGTAAAAATGGCCAATATCACATGCAAGAGTTCAAAACTCTAAGAAACTCCAGATTCAACACTACTAACCCCAAAGGGACTTTGGGGATCTATAATGTTGGCAACTTTATGGAATTCCAACTCGCTAATAAGTCCCAACATGAAGAATAAGGCTTAGAAACCTAGATCTATGCACAAAGAACTTAAAAGCATGGAACTTGAGGACTTACAAAAGTCTAGAAGATGCACAACAAGAAGATGAGAAGAGTCCCTTGCTGATTCCAAGCCTAAATGTCACATTCTTCGTCTTCTAATACCCAAAAGTCAACACAAAAGGCTCAAAAGGCAAGTTGGAGGTTAGGGTTTGCTTGGAGGCTAAGAGTGTGTGATGGAGGCTAAAGGGTGAGCAACCCTATCCATCACATTCCTTTAAATAGGGGCACAAACCCCGGAGATTAGGTTTTCTTATTTAATCACCACCACGCCTTGGTTATAGGCTGTCACGCCGTGATGCTCATTAAAAAGCCGCGATACAAAACACTCTGGCACGTCGTGGTGATGCTCCACAACGCCGTGGCCACCCCAATTAAGATTTATACATAAAAGTTGATTTATACCTGGATCGGACGTTACACAAATTTTTGTTCGTTTAGTCTTGTATGATTCCAATATAAGATTATTGGTAAACTTTTATCTAATTGGCTCAATGCGGTTATTGGGAGCTATGTTAGTCGGGATCAATATGCCTTTCTTAAAGATATGAATATTCTAGATGACCTATTTTGTTGAATGAAGTTATAGAGTGGTATCGTAAACGTAAGAAAAGACTTATTTTCTTCAAAGTTGACTTTGAGAAAGCCTAGATTCTCTATGTTGGGATTTCTTAACTTTTTCGTGGACAAGTTGGGCATTATTTGTAAATCGAGGCGGTGGATTTCAGGATGTCTTATGAATGAAAGGTCTTATATTCTAGTTAATGGCTCCATACATATGAATGTTGGATTTTGTAGGGGTCTAAGGCTTGAGGGAGTGGACTCGCCACCCCTCTCGCCAAACAAGGTGCTAACATATCAAACACCACCCCTTTGGATTTGCCAAGGGAGGTGTTAAGAATTGGTCGCCAAGCATGTAGCGAGAGGAAAGAAGAGAGAGAAGATGTATTGGTTGATTATGATTGGTTCATAGCTATTGTTTCTTTTTTTTTCTCTTTTTTTTCCTTCAAAATAAATCCTATTAATTTAACGCACCGCCACTCCCTACCAGTTGTTAAGAGTTAGTTGCTAAGAAAGAAAAATGATGTGGCACTCAAAAAAAATGATGTGACAAGGTGCTAAGAGTGTTACCACTCCCCTTAGCCTAAAGCATGGAGACCCGATGCCTATGTTTTTGTTTATTTTACCGATAGAAGGATTGCACGCTGATATTTTGGAATTTGTAGTTAACATTTAATATCTCTTTACCATATGTGGTCGTTAGGTTGATTATCCCTTAAATAAATGTTAGAAAAAACTATAAAAAACAAATTAAAAGAATATAATAGTTATTTAAATTTGGAAAAAACAAATAAAAATGAAAACTCTCGCTTTTGTACGTTTGATGCAAGTTGGAAAGGTTTTAACGGTATCAATAAAAAAAAACACCAAACCATAAAAACAAAATTTACACTTTACACTATTTTTTATTTTGTGACAAAGGCATATAAAATAAAGACTAAACCGGATTTTTTAAATGTCCGGTCCAAGGCGGGTAGGTGTGCACCATTACTTTTTTTTGGGTAAAAGTAATAGTCGACATAATCTTTGCTTTAAATAAAGTCAAATATAGTTTTAGGTTAAAACATTAAGAGCCTCCGAGAGAAAAGAAGAAGAAGAGTTGTAATGGAGGCTAAAAAGCAAGATGATTACTCTCTTACAATACCACTACTTGTTAACAATGGAGATGTGGGAACGAAGGTAAAAGAAGAGCAATACATCAACAACACAACCACAGGAACAACCACCGGAACTGCTTCTTTCGTTAGTACTTGTTTCAATTGTCTCAATGGTCTTTCAGGTTCTTACTTCACCTCTTCTCTTCAATTTTTTTACCTTTAATCCACATACATTTTGGCTTTGGGTATTAATCTTCGTAATCCAGAGTAGCAAGCTTTTTCATGGAAAATCTCATAACAGCTCAGGAAAAAAACAGTTTTTTTCATGAAAAAACAGTTTATTTTTTTCAGAAAAAGTAGTTTTTTGTTTTTTTTTCAGAAAAAACGTATCTTTTTATTAAAAAACTCCAAAAGAAAAAACTCATTTTATCTATAAAAAGCTTTTAACTTGTTTATTTATAATGGGTTGAAACCAGATGAACCAAAAGAGCTCATTAAAGTTTTTTCAAACAAATTTTTTCAAGAAGTTTTTTCCCATAAAGTTTTTCGATAATCTGGTTTCAACCAATTATAAAAAGTCAATCTGAAAGGTTTCCTGTTATAGATATAAAAATGAGTATTTGTTAATCAAACATACTTTTTGGAAAAACTTCGGCCGAAAAAACTTGTAATCGTTTTTCAAAAGCTATTGAAAAAGCTCCCAAAACTGGAGTACTATAGATGCTCTAATTTTGACTAAAGGAAAGTCAAAATCTCCATTCATGCAATTTTCATTTTGATGGGATTCTCAGGAGTCGGAATACTTTCAGTACCATACGCATTAGCATCAGGAGGGTGGTTGAGTTTACTTCTACTTCCTTTAATCGCCATCTCAACGTTCTACACAGGATTACTAATTCAAAGATGCATGGATTCTGATCCAACAATCACAAATTACTCCGAACTTGGGGGTCGAGCATTTGGTAAAACAGGCAAAACCCTAGTATCAATCACCATGAACATCGAGCTCTATTTAGTAGCAACAGGTTTTCTAATCCTAGAAGGTGATAACTTAAGCAACTTATTCCCAGATATAGATTTTGATATCTTTGGTGTTCATATTGATCCCAAAAGTGGATTTATTGTGTTTGTTGCAATCATTATACTCCCTACAAATTGGTTGAACAACATGAGTGTTCTTTCATATATATCTGCAAGTGGAGTTGCAGCCTCTGTGATTATTCTGGGATCTATCTTTTGGGGTGGTGCATTTGATGGTATTGGTTTTCAGGAGAAGGGTAATTTGGTAAAATGGAATGGAATCCCTTCGGCTATTAGCTTATATGCATTTTGCTATTGTGCGCATCCCGTTTTTCCTACCCTATATACTTCCATGAAAAACCAACGTCAATTCTCAAAGGTACATATTAAGAAGTTATTTCTGCATGAATTTAAAAAGGAACAATTATTTGCCAATTTAGGCCCATCATCCTCTAATTGTACACACCAAATCATTAAACTTTCAAAAGTTTTTTCCGATTTAGGTCCATGTAGGATGCCAATTCAAATGGTTTACTTGTCAAATACGTTAAAATTGAGAGGTTAATTATTTGGTGTGTGAATTAGAAGACGAGGGACCTATAGTTGTGATGGCAGTAGCTTGTGGCTAAATACTTACAACTTTATGTGTAAAATTGGCAATAGCTTGTGGCTAAATTTTGACACAAACCTAATGTGTCAAAAGTTAGGATTTAATGGGGAAAGCCTTTTATTTTTTTCTAACTTTCTCTTACATGGTTTTTTCTTTATTAATTCTAAAAGAAAGATATATATATAGGTTACCAGATTAAGTGATTGAGTAATGAAAGAAAGAAATCTTAATAACATTTGTTTCCATTATTACTAAATATGTTTTGTTGTTCTAATTAATTGTAGGTCTTGTTCCTATGTTTCGCCTTTTGTACCGCTACATACTCATTAATGGCAGTTATCGGTTACCTCATGTTTGGGTCAAATGTAGAGTCAGAGATTACCTTAAACCTTCCTACCAACAACATAAGCTCAAAAGTAGCCATATTCACCACCTTAGTCACTCCAATAGCTAAATATGCACTAATGGTAACACCAATTGTCAATACCATTGAAGCACGATTTCAGTCTTCTTACAGCAAAAGGATTCGTTCATTCATAATTAGAACAATCTTAATGATAAGCACAGTAGTTGTAGCCCTATCGCTACCTTTTTTCGGGTATTTAATGGCACTTGTGGGAGCCCTCTTAAGTGCTACAGTTTCAGTCACAATCCCATGCTTGTGTTACTTGAAGATTTCAGGGATTTATAGAAGAATTGGGGTTGAGATGACGATTGTTGTGTTTGTTGGGTTAATTGGGGTTATTGTAGCAATTGTGGGTACTTATGTATCAATTTTAGATATAAAAAGGCACCTTTATTAGATTATTGAATTGTGGATAGTTAATCTTCATGTTTAAAGTTAATTACCCATATAATAACAAGCCTAACATAACTTAAGTTGCCAAAGTGCTTTGAAGTATAGAATTAGGTGATTTCCATCTATCACATTTTTTGGAATGCAATTAGGAATTGGCATGAATTCGAAAGGATTTTTTTTCATAGAAATACAAGATTCTCAGATTCTGGGATGGAAAGCGATAATTGGTCTTGTTAATTTGCTAAATGTGGATGATGATTAATACCTCATATAGATTTTGAAGTATCAAACGTTTTAAAAAAGTAAAACGTTTATATATATATATATATATATATATATATATATATATATATATATATATATATATATATTGCAATTAACTCGACTAGAAACTGGAAATCAACGTTACAAGAGAAAGAGAAAGACAAATGAAGAAGGAATTGCACCTTAGTCGCCAGAGAATAAAAACAGTCGTCGAGGTCGCCGGTAGTAGAGATGGAAGCCGGTGGTTAAAGGTATCATCACAGATCCAAGGTTTTGTCACAGGTCGAGAGAAATGAAAGCAGAAGAGGGAAGAAATAAAGCTAAAAAGTGTTTATTTGCGATGGCTTTTAGTGGCGACACAAAGACAATAGCGGCGAATCCTATCAATTGTGGCGACAAATGTGGAGGGAACTTATCATGTCTCTTTTTTTACCATTAGTGGCGACAATAGTCGCCGATATTGGTGTCGCCGTTATTGGTTTATGCGAAACGGAACCCCAATTATTGGATTAGAGTCTTGATCAGACAGATGGGGTTTACCAAAAAGGGACCACGTGGATTCCGTCCTAAAGTCATTACCGACGATATTTTATCGGTGACACAAATTTTTGGCACCGACTCAAGCTTGAGTCGCCGCTAATAGTCCGTGGTGCCGGTAAAGGTGTTGTCAAGAATGACATGATTTCTTGTAGTGACTTTAAACCGAATTTTAACAACAAAGCTATATAATCACCGAATAATACTATATGTTTTCAAAAGAGTTTATATAGAATAAGCATATACAATCAACAAACTGTAACAAAATTCGATCAAAGACAGTAACAACTTTATACAATAAGATTACTATACAGTGGCGGACCTTAGTGGTGCCCAGGGGTCCCGGGCCACTGCTCCGATTCCGGCACGCAGTGTAAATTTATTATTAATTTTTTTTTTATGTTTTTTTATGTTTTTTCTATTAGGTGCACCGGCTTAAAATACGAGTGCCACTACTAATTTAGATTTTTTCGAAATTTTTTTTTAGTGTCACTCCTATTAAAACCTTCTGCGTCCGCCACTATATATATATATATATATATATATATATATATATATAATATATATATATATATATCAAGGTTGTAAAAATCGCTCGACGGTCGACTGGTGTTAAGAGATTAATCGGTCTTGGCGGAGATTAATCGGGGATTAATCAGGGACCATAGATTATTAATAAAATATTAAAATTAATTAAATATTAATATATCTTAAGAAAAAAAAGTACTTCAAAATTAGAAAATAAGAAAAATTGTAATTTGGAAATACGAAAATATGAACATTTTGGTATAATATTCGAAATTTTGAAAATTTGAAAATTTTGGAGTAAAAAAAATTGGTTTTTTGAAATTTTTTTTTAATTTTTTAAAAATTTTTTTTAAAATTTTTTTGACATTTTTTGACATTTTTTTGATTTTTTTCGACTTTTTTGACTTTTGTTGACTTTTGTTGACCGATTAATCCCGCCAATGCCGATTAATCCCGCCAAACCCGATTAATCCTAAATTTCCGATTAATGGCCTAATCCTCGACGGTTGGAGAACGCCAAACGATTAATCCACGATTAATCGCCGATTAATCCCGATTTCTGCAACCATGATATATATATATATATATATATATATATATATATATATATATATATATATATATATATATATATATATATATATATATATATATATATATATATATATATATATATATATATATACACACACACTTGAAGAAAACCTTAACAACTCTCCAGAGGGAATGATGGAGAAAATATGTTTAACGAATTCCATCAAAACACCAAAAGAGCATTTATATACAAGCTCTCTTAGACGTTACACATTACACCCTTGAAGCTTTAGCATATCTCCAACACAACCCTTCATGTCTCAACCCATATTCACTTTTTACTACGCGAGCCCCACATATTTCCCAGGTACTTCAACCAGTACCTCTCTAATTAAGCCCATATAACATATAATTAGTTCAAGTAATGTTAACAAACCAAAAAAATGTAATAATATATTTAATACAAAAACCTTAATATTAATCTCTAACACCAAGGATGAGATTGACAAATTATATCAATATTGGTATTGATACGTATTTCTGGTCTGAGAAGTGGTGCCGTAATTCTTCTGTAAGGTATCTCTTTCCACACGATGTGTAGGTTCATAGTAGTGTGGTAGATAATTTACAGAATGGACAATGGTTTTGGACGTGAAGAAGACCAGTGAGACGAAGTTGAAAAAGAAGAATTGCATAATATTATGATAGAGACCATTGCTAAAATCCATATTGATGTCTTGGTGATGGACAAATGGAGATGGTTGTTCACTCTAGATGCTCAATTTATAGTAGTGTCGATCTATTATGGAAGATAAATTTCTAGACTCAAACGAAATTATGGTGCTGCTTGTTTTTTCGAAGTGAAAATGCTTGAAGTCTACGGACCACTTCTGCAACCCTGTGTAGCTGAAGAGGGGACCAAACGGCTGCAACGTGTAAAAAAAAGTCCGTTTGTTTTTTAACATCTGTAGACTGCTGTAATAAGTTAAAGTAAGATGTGAAGAGGTTTGAAGCAGAGGGTCAAGTGCTGCGCCACGCAGCACATGAAAAGTGTTGCGTACTACGCGACACAACAATAAGTGTTCCGAAGTGGTTTTTTAGAAAAAACAAACAACACTTACAGTTAAAAAAACATGTATATATATATATATATATATATATATATATATATATATATATATATATATATATATAAAAGTTCATGCGAAACATAAATATTTTACAAAAATATGAAAACATATTTTATCTTATACAAATCAAACACAAAATCAAACACATGCACTTTAGAAATTGTAAGGTCCCTAAAACTGAGGATCTGAACCAGTGATCAAACAAATAGCAATCAAACACAATGAGAATGGAGTAGAAGAAGAATTAAGCCAAGCATGCACACATTTATATCATAAAAACATCAAATACACCTTGGTTACACACACTCTGACCGTAAACTATAAGACACGTCACTCCGGTTCGTCAACGACCCTGACAGACTCTGACAAGCCCTATATATAGGGAATAGTTGGCCGTAAACAGGTTTACGGTCGTAAACCTGTTTACGACCGTACACACATACCTAGCCGTAAACACTGCAATCAACAAAACATAACCATAAACCCATTAAGACCTATGAGCCCAAACCACAAAAATAAGACCTTTCAATCTCCCCCTTGGTTTGAGGCTAGCATTGACTCAGTCTTTTTCAATGATAAGCACATCTGACCCCCCCATGGGACCAAACCACATCTCCTTTTGGATGATCTCAGCAACCATTGCAGTGGATTCTTTAGCTGCATTCTCAAAAAACTCTTCAGCTACCTTGATTTGATGTTGAGCCAGCTGGTGAATATCCTACCTTCCAAATTGAAGCAGATCTCTCTTGTTAAACAGGAGAAAGCAACCATCTGGAAATTTGATGACATCAGAAGCTGTGGATTCATCATAAACCTAGTAGAGCATATTTCTCAGAGAACCATCGCAAAAATTCTGCAACACAGGAATCTGTCTCACTTGGTTGGTAGGTGGCCACAACACCGTCTTGAAGGGCTCATTAGTCCTTGGATCCACTATGTAACGGTGTGTTTTGATGATAGACTCAGCAATCTTCATATCAGTAAACCCTTTCTTTACTTGATTCTCCAGGAAAAGCTTGAAATGAGTTGCTCGTGGATCATAGGATGGATTAGCGAAGGGAGCATTAGCAAGTTCAGAGAGATCAACTCTTGTCCATGAGTTGAAATCATGAAAGTCCCTGTAATACTCCACATTTGAACTTTTACGTTTCACAATCCACATATTTAATCTGTCATGAAAGCCCCACGATACAATTCCTGATCTATCACCATACTTGTGACCAAATTGTTTCTTTTCAAGATCAGTTACAGTGATTTTGGGTTGATCTCCACGTGTATTTTGATCTGAACTCTTCTTAAATAACAGTTGCGGTTTCTTAGCAGATACTGCCAATTTGGCACGTTTTACCGAAACTATATGAGGAGCTTGAATTGGTTCTTTTTCAAATCTATCAACAATTCAATTTGTTCTCATAGTGGGTGGGTCAACAGGGGGTCTTGAGAAGACTGGCAAGCACTGAACTCTTTAACTGATGATTTGAACTTGTCTCCAAGTTCCTCCGCCAATTTTCTTTTCAAATCATAGTAACATGCAGTTAGAGTTCCAAGATGCGTCTGCAGATCTGAAATTTGCTCTGACTTCTGAGCAACATCTGCTTCAAATGTCATGCTGTCCAATTAGAAGGTCTTTCTCTATGTTTTTCTGGTTGAGAACACCTATTTCTTCTCTAAGCTTGGACACTAAAGGATCATCATCCCTTGAATGGCCTTCCTCAATAGATATTCCTTTTTCACGAGAGGAAGGCACTGAACTTTGTTCCTGTGCCAAGTGCATTGCAAGCCTCACAGAGGCAGCATCATGCAAAGGCCTTGGAGGATACGATCCCTAAGCAGCTGATGAGCCTCCAGTTTCATACATAGTGCTTGGACCTTCTTGGGTTAGCGTGGGTGATGCAGCAGCAGTTGTTGTTGTTGTTGATTGCGTTGGAGGGGCTTGTTCGAGAATAAGTACTCCTGGCCTTGGATCATGTCTTCTCCTTTTTAACGGAGGCTGGGAGGTTAGAGTTGTCAGCGAATCACTCACAGATGGCACAGTGGTTGGAATCGCACCATCAAGGGGAGGAATCCCTGAAGCTGCATCCATATGACTTGAAGTATCGGCCATCTGTTTTGAAGTAGGAGGCATCGTTTCTTGAATATCTTCAGCTTCCCCTATGTCCGTTGCTTGATGAACAACATCATTGATATTGTTAAAGAAAGTGTCGAGGTCTGCATTTGACAGGAAACCGTCATTGCTAAGATTTAAAGGAATGTCGTCCCTATTAAAACC